CAAGCTGGTATGAAGCGAGCGGTAGCTGCTGTGATCACCTTGCGGAATTGACGTTCGCCAACGCATAGGTCCGTAGGAATGAGTAGAGCGTTGAAGGTGCTCTCAGTAAATTCTGTGAAGCCGACCCAGTTAGCTTTGTTAAAGTTAACGAAGGTGCGGTTGTCCATAGAAACGAAATCGGCAGGTTTCTCGATCGAGATAATAATGGGTAGAAGGTCTGATCCGAGAGTTAGCATAGGTCGCCAGGTTATGCTATTTTTAGACCACCACTAGCGATTGTAATATCGGGCGAGCTACTACAGGTGCCCATAACTCTGGTGGGGGCTTCGTCATTCATTRTGCAGAATGTCGAAKMGTCAATCTGTTCCGCCAGCTCCATCCCCCTACGGTCATTTGACAGACAGGAATGCCAAAGATAGTGGTGCGCGTTAAAGTCGCCTAGCACCAAACGGTTTTCACCACGAAGTTGCGCACCTATATTCGGGTGATATCCTGTAGGGCAACATTTAACTGGGGGGATATTAAATATTTCGAGCTCGACATCGCCTGATCGGACAGCTTCGCACTGACATTCTAGGGTAGTATCCCTGCGGTCGATGACTTCATCGATTACACGATACTGCACGGTATTGTGCAATATGAAGGCTAGGCCACCACCATTATCTCGYTCGCGATCTTTACGTATAACGTTGAAACCGGCACAACTCAGAAGATCTGAGCGGCTCTTTAATTTGGTTTCTTGGACCGCAGCTATCGATACGCGTTTCCGAGTCCGCCATTCACAGTGGAGCCATTAACACCTTCACCGACTCCCTCCCCGTGAATGGCGTACTTGGAGTCAAATCACCACCAATAGCAGACGAAGAGCTCGAGTTGCCGCGAGAAACGCGAGTGACCCTTGCGCAACTTCGTTCTGGATATTGTAGCAGGTTAAACTCCTACCTATCCAGAATAGACCCTGACATACCCAACGTATGTCCTCCATGCAACGAGTCTCCGCATGACACTGACCACCTCTTTGCATGCACAACCAACCCCACCCATATAACACCCTTTTAATTTTAGTCCGAGCCTCCCGTTAGATGACATCGACGACAACACTGATAACCCTCACCATCCCAACGGGGACTGATAACCGTTAAAACAACAACAACATACGCGCTACCGATTCATAAGTGCAACTATCTCCTCGATCTTGCTCTGGAGTCCGCTGCAGTTGAATTGAAGTAGCCGGGTTTGTCGAGGGTGTCCGTGGGTGATCCTGGGGGTGAGGGAGGGACATGTGGGTGGTATTTGTTGCAGCTGAAGAGTCCGCAGGGGCGGTTGCCGCACTGGGGTGTTTGTTGGCGACGCATCTGGTGTGTGTTGCGGGGGCAGACTCCTGCAGCATGGGGCAACGTGCGACTCACTCCACTCACATGTGGTGCGCAGGCCGGAACACGCCGGGAAGTGACACCAGCCAGCACAAGAGTTGCACTTGAYTGATGTGACGTTCCGACGTATGGCGGTCTGACACACGGAACAGACTGTGCGAGGAACCAAGAGTTGCTGATTTGTTCTTGCACGAGGATTGGAGCGGGAGCTATGTTGAGTAGTTGAGCTCCGGGGGACCGTGGAGGTCCACTGTTGGCCACTCGAGGTGGGTGGCGGCGCAGCGCGCGAACTATGTGCAGATTGCACAACGTGGTCCACTAACTATGGGTCTTAAGGCCTGAGCAGGTCTTAAGATGGCTCCATCCATTGCATGTGTTGCACCTGACCGAGGTGGAGTTTGGATGGAGCCTTTTCGTGCAAACGCAGCAGAAGAGTTCCTACGGGCCCGGGTTGGACTCAATGCCAGCACGAGTCAGGAGGACACGGAGCAACCCTGCTGCAAGGCGTTGCTCCAGTGACGACACACACAAATTAACATTCACCGATCCAAACGGGGTTAGATCGCCGAAAGAACAGCCCTTGGTCGGATGAAATCCGAGTCAATTCCGGTACGTAGAACCGGCTGTCGTGAGAATTGATGTTACCTGTATTTCAGCGTACTGCTGGTAGAGTAGTCGAGGGCGCGGAATACGTTCTGACAGCAGAAGTATTTCCTGATAGAGTTGTTATATACTCTTATTTATCCTTATGTGTAGAGAACGGATTTTGGTTTGAAACATACCACATGTTTGATTGTGCATTTTAATATTCGGGTAGATGCTTAAGAGAAGCAACTTTATTTTGCGGGATTATTTGATTTTACTAGACGCAACGAATGTCTGATAGTTCAAACGAAAGGTGAAAGAGATAATTTGAATACAAATACCGAAACATTATTCAAACCTTCAGGGGCATATTTTGGACTAAAGTTTAAAATGTAAAAGGCATTTTTCTTTCATTGGTTGATACAGGTAGTCTATTGTTTGATAAGGGGTGATACAGTCGAAAAACTTAATCTTAAAGTTATGCCACACAAATATAAACGAGCACTGGGCAGAATCGGTAATTCAGAAGTGGTCACGTTAGGTAGTTTCGAAACCAGAGCTAAAGTAGATGATATTGAGATAAATATCATGTCTCATGTCATATTGTCAACAATAGCCATCTTCAATATCCGGCATTAATAGGACAGTCAATTTTGGGTCAAGTCGATTTAATTGTTAGCGAGGAGAGCGATAGGTTTCCAAGAAAGGATAAACTAGATATTTGTCAGGCGAACAACAAAAAGTATAATGGTAAAATTGCAGAAGAGGCAGCTTTTAGTATGATTTGATGTTTCGCCACGAATTTAATTATAATATAGAACTTAGGTCAGGATCTAAAATGAAGCATGGCGTTGCTTTAAGTATGTTAGCGTGTACGTTAGTAGCCGAATCGTTACAGCACAAATTAAAAGAGGCACAGAAAAATGATGAATGGGCGCAGGCAATTCGCAAAATACTAGAAGACAATTCATACGAAGACTTTTTAATTTCGCTTGACATATTGTACAGGAAACCGGACAAATAAACTAATTGTGATACCAAGACAAATGGGGAATGAGATAAATTTGTTAGCACGTAAGCAATTGCATTTTTCATTTAAAAAGACTTGTGAATGTGTAGGGAAATACTACTACATTCCAGTGCGCGAGGGACACGTCGTAAATATAGTAAGCAGTTATGTTTAATGTTTAATAATGAACACAAAGTGTGGTAAATTAGAAGGATTTTTGTCGAAAATTGAGAAAGACTGCTATCCTTTAGGAACATTTCACATAGATCATGTAGGTCCGATGACAACGACCGGGGAACAGTATATATATATTATAGTTGTTAGATCGACGCTTTTACAAAATTTGTGTGGCTCTACCCAACAAAAGATACAAGCGCGGAAGTGGTTATAGACAGGTTTTCGAAACAAGCTGACATTTTCGGCAACCCGCGCAGAATTACAGTCTTCCACAAAACTGAAGGTACAGTGAATTTGGATTTGCGAATTGTATTGCTTTTCAGGTGTTTTTCATTCTAAGGCCAAATAACGAAAATGTTATTATGACTAGTAATAGTACTTTTTAATTTTTATAAAATTAACCATTTCGGCAACCGTGATCAGCGAGGAGATTACGTTTTTGTTGGCAACTCTTTACTGACGTTCCACAAAATTCTTGGTACAGCTGATGTAAACGCGCTTTTATTAGTAAAAATGGGAATCCCACAATTCAATATTATAGCTGTGAATTAAAAGCTGCAGTCTGGTACTTTTAATATTGTATTCGTGTTCGTTGAGTGTTATTTGTTATAAAAAGCAAATAAAAATAAAAGAATTTATGGGCTGAAAAGAATTAACAATTAGAGAACGGGAAATCATAATTGATCTACATGTTAGGCAAGGGAAATCTTATTCACAAATATCTGWGCTTGTATCGCGTAGTCGGTCATCAGTCCAAAAAGTGGTTAACCGATATAATAAGGAAAACAGAGTTGAAAATGCACCCAGGACTGGCCGCCCGCCCAAACGGAATGATACTGACAAGAGTAAAATTTTGCGTTGCGTATAGTAAAAGAAAACCCATTTGTAAGCTGCAGAAAAATTAGTGATGACCTTGCTGTTTACGACAACAAACAGGTTAGTGCAGAAATTGTGCGAAGAGCTGTCGTAGAGAATGGATTTTCATCTAGAACGCCCAGGAAGAAGCTGCTTGTGAGTGCTATAAACAAAGAAAAGCGTATAACATAGGCAAAGACATATTGTGACAAGCCTGTGGAGTTTTGAGACACAATTTTATTTTCAGATGAGTTTAATGGGCATAAAAGGGTCTGGCGCAGAGCAGGAGAATTAAAAAACCATTAAACATGGAGGCGGTGGCGTTATGGTGTGGGGGTGCATGGCAGCTCCGGGGGTAGGAAACCTGGTTTTTGTCGAAAATAATATGGACCAGAATACATATTTGAATATTCGGTTTCAGACAAGGTGGCTCTTAACGTGCGACTTCTTCAATTTTCTGCTGGAGAAAATATTTCGAGCTGCAGTACTTAATCGAGCAGGTACAATCTTCTATAAGAGTGTAAGGCTACTAGCGTATGCTGACAATATTGATATCAACACCAGCGCCGTTAGTTTTATTTCTCCAGAATGGATAAGGAACCAAAGCAAATGGTTCTGGTGGTGATAGAGGGTAAGACGAAATAATGTCATCAAACAAACAGCCGTCGCACTCGGGACTTAGCTCCACTCCGTAGCGAATAAAAGAAACGACTGACGCGCTGTTGTTAACTCGGCTATAATCGCGTAAGTGGTGTCTGCGCAAGTAAAGAAGAATAAGTCGATCATAGTAGTCCTTATATTATTTGTGCAGGGTTGAAGAAGTTAGTATACTTGACAAAGCAGATAACAACCCTGAGTTTAAATTTTTTTCAAAGAGCTTAGTACTATTGCTCAAACTAAAAAAAAAAAGTATCGTACAACGAAACGTAAAAACATTCTCACTCCTATTACTTTATGGATAGCTGTACCTTAAATAATCTTACACTACATGAGATACTTACATACTGTTGGATGTATTCCAATGCATATAAAATGTTTTTGCGCAATTGGAGACGGTAGAGAGTAGTACAGTCTCTAGGCAAATGAGCGTCAGTAATGTGAAAAACGATGTTGCACCCACACTGGGAAGCAACCGAAATTTCGTACGCAATGAGCTTCCCGATGGGTGCAAAGACGAGATATATGTTGCAGCTGCTTTACAGCGTGCCGCTGCCGTCGCGGTTCCGAATGCAGTAAGTATTGCTGCTCCGGGTGCTGTACTTGTCCTTTCTAGTTGCCGAACGACTCTAGTACTTTTCGTTGCTATGCTAAGGCTTGTCGTTACCACTCTGGATGAAGTAGTTAATCCTAAAAGAGAATTCTGCAGAAGTTTTACAAATTGTTGCCAAGCTTGAGGAATAACAGACACGTCTAATAAAGTTTGTGCTAACGTCGATAATGCAAATGCTGCCGTCCATGTCGACGTGGGTGTTAATGCTGTCTTAGTTAGGGACATCGAAATTTGCTCCATTGCTGACTCAGATGCGGGCACCGACCGTAATGTTATTTTACCGCATATAAGTGATTTATTTGGAAACTTTATGGACGCTTCTGCATTTGCCGGCACAGTTTCCGTATCGCCCGCTGTCGTCTGAATGACCCTATTTTGGATTCGATGTAATTTACCAGTACGACATTTAACCTTGTGATGACTGCCTTTTTGTAAAGGTTTGTTAATATGCAACTTCGATGATACTATATCGACTGATTTCCTAGCTCCAATATCACGAATTCTGTCCACTAAGAGATTTGTAGTTAGTAACGTTGACGCTGCGAACGTCGTTACTTTTTTCTCGCTTTGCCTCTGCAATGATTTTTTAAAACCATTACCACTATCTAGTTTACTGGTTATCGGGATATTTGATGCCAGCCCCCTTCGTGGCATAGATTTGTTCGCCTTTTTTATCCTCAAAATCCTGTTGCTTCCAGTGATTGTAGTACTTCTAAAATTCTTGAAAATCTTCTCTTCACGACTTTTGTTGGTGCTGCGATTAATATATGTGGTGTGCAATGGATCAGCGTTATTGATACATTTATGACAAGATGATGTTTTCAAAAAGAAATCTTTTTTAGGGAAAATATCATTTATTTCGTGCAATGATTTCAACGTCTGGTTGATATTCCTTTTGCCGTTGCTCTTAATAGGATCAACTTTACCCACGATACCCATGGTCATTTTAGTCTGGCTATTTATACTTTCTATTGTAAGATTAGCTGTTCAGAAAAACTATTTGCAAGTCAGCTTACTCTCTGGTCTCTATGCATAATAAATAAATGTTGTTCGATAGTCCTATTGCAATGAAAAATATTATCGAAAAGCTGTTCCACTTAAATGGTATATGAATAAAGTTACGATAATTTTCTGCAAATAGAAACATATATAAAATCATTATTTTTCGTTAGCACATTAATTATAACAAAAACAAGTAGGAGCTTATGTAAGTAATGAAAAAACGTTAAGGGGTAATATACAGTTAACAAACCGACAAAAGTGAATTTTAAACAATATTTCTGAAAAAAAATTATGGATCCAAAAATTTTTACACACTTTATGGTATCTTTTAACCGTATTTTAAGCTTAAAATATTTTTCTGGAAAGAAACTACAGCTTTGAGCTCCTCTCAAAAAAAGACGTTTTGCGGTGACCACTATATCTCTGAACTGGATCCACTGAAATTAAAAAAAGCGACCAGATTTCGTTAAAGTTATGTTAGGCTAATAACTAATTGGAGGAATAAGCAAAACAAAAGTTTTTGACAAAATGGCAATTTCGACAAAAAAATATCGATTTTTGATCAAAACTTCGGACTTTAATTTTTTATAAAAAAATTATTAGTTGGTTTAAAAAAAATAATATTAATTACTAAACAATATATTTAAGAAGTTCGTCAAATCGGTTTAGTAGTTTTTAAGTAATGTTTGAAAACATCATTTTGAGAAAAACGCGTTTAAAGTTTGGCCTTGCTTTTTCAAGGACTCAGGAATGCATTTTCGAATTTGAATGTAACTTCGAAAATATTCACCGGATATGAAATTTTAAGTGTGCATTTTTAAATATATGTAGGTGCATTAAAAAAATAAAATTAGAAATAATGGATCTTTTGAAAATTCTAAGTGTATTAGCCTCTTAACTCTTGCATCGAAGCTATACTATCCTTTACATCAGAGGTGAGCATATTAGCCCTCAGTGCCATTTTGCACCGTTCGGGCACGCGTGCATATTTTGAGGGCTAGATGAGGGGATCATCGCGGGCAAACATAAAAAATGGTATTCAGAACAACGTATTTTACCACTCCTTGTTTACAAATGAGAACGCATGTTGTTGTAACGGCAGAATTCTGCCGAATTGACAGTCCTTGGCCGGATGAAAATCCGGGTCCGTTCCGGTTTTCGTAGACCCGACTGTCGTGGGAACGCATGTATATATGGGTTCATAAAAAAAATTGGTTCGGGATTCACCTGTATACCGATCATATTCTTCGTGTTGCGCTTCATAATGCCTTTGAATATTGTATTTCTACATCTGAACATGTTTTTTATTTAGCAGACATTATATGCTGTCAGAGTTTTCGTGACAGGAATACTCTTCTTCCCATTCCACATTAAATGAATTAGTGTTTTCTTTCAAAATCTTGGACATTGTTTTCACTTGCTGATAACATTTTTGTACATTTAAAGTATAATAAGAAGTGTTCCGGAATCTGATAGTTATCAGATTCAGAATTGAAACCGATAAAAAAAGTAGTAGGTGTCATGAATTCAGATATTGGTTTCATGTTCGAAACAGAATACGTTTCGGTTTTGGTTGTCACGGAAACCAATTTTATCGGTTTTGCTATCAGAAACAAAGCAAGAAGGTAGTCACTGACAGATCTGAAATGTAAGTAAAGAGTTATTTCATTGTTACGAATTACTTTATCTTTATGTCTATAGGAGAAAACATAAGAATAAAACACGAAATGTCTTAATTATTGAGTGCAGTGTTAAGGGGGAGCCTGTTTTATAGGCTTCAAAAAATCGATTTTTGAGGTTCGGTTGGGAGGGAAAGAAATACTTGAATAAAGCGAAATATCTGAAGTTATAGTTATATATTTAAGCATCATCCGAAAACTTTTTGGATACGAAATCTTTGATTCTGCCTTTGGGGAGCAATTGCCCGATGCATCTCGCATGTTCATTTGTCGGACGGCGAGCAGTATGCAGGTCGCAATTTCTACCGGAAACAAAAAATTCAAAAAGATTCACATTTGTCAATAACTTATGTTCTAGTCGAACTAAGAAAATTTCAACAAAAAAAGTGTAAAATTCCAAAATTTAAAAAAAGTGTGTTTTGACCACAAAAAAAAAAATGAAATGTTCAAACTTTACTTTTCTTTAGTTTAAATAGAAGATAATTTAACGCCAAAGATAATCATCTTTGCCCCAATTCCATACGACGTTTAGTATTTTTTTCTATCCTGCCCGCCAGTTCAGAAAAAATTTAATAATGAAAAATCTAGAAATCGCGCGTCAAAATTTTCGCGTCTTGCCAAAGCGCTCATATATCTGCTAGACACTCGGTCACTATTTCCCTTCTAACTTCGACAATATTTCGAATACCCATCTATAACTTTGGGGACATATTCTTGATAATTTTTAAAGATATTTAAGCAAAAAAAAAAAAAAAACGATATTTGAGGCTTCTAAAGCAGGCTCCCCCCTCAAAAAAGATTTACAAAACATAATTTAACAGCCAAACTCGTTTTTATTCATTCGATAAATGTTCTCGCTAAAAATATACCTTTAAGTCGGAACTCATTAATAACTTTAATGGGATTGCTTCCAAATCTATTCATTTGCAAGTTTTGTCACATTAGTAAACATTGAATATTGGATTTGCGAATGTTCGAAAGGACGAAAATCCAAAAAGATTCCGTGACACCAATGTAAATCAGAATTGGTTTGCGATTCTGACAGCTAAGCTATTCTGTCTTGGATTCCACAACATCCCTGAATAGCTTCAGTTTCTGAACCAGTGTTTCTTCAAACACATATATACAAATGAGCGCTCAGCACACACCTATTAGCGTTTGTATTCTATTTGTGTGCTTAGTCACTCTCAATTAATAATGCCATACCGCGCAAATATAATTTTACTTGATGATTTTTTATTTCTTTGAAAATATGTGTTCCCTTTCTGAAGTGTGTATTATTATTTTAATACATTTCCAGAGGCAGCTTAGATCGGTAAATTTAATAAAGTAATTCTATAAAAAAAACCTCATTTCTTTGAATATTTTGGTAAAATAACCAAACGGAAAAATATCACAAATCATATATTTATATAAGCATTTTCATTAAATGGAACTGCAATATGTTTAAAGAAAATATATATTATGGTAACTAGTATCTTTTCTCTTTTATATATGTAGATATATGCCTTGCATATGTACGTATAAAAGCCACAACTTGAGAAAAGATTTCCCAATTGTAACTACGAGTAAAATGAATTTTTACAACTGGCATTATTATTATTAACAGTTTTATCAAATATAGATTGGTGTGAACAAAATAGAAACAAATTGTTTTAAAATGTACTGTTTTCTTATTAAATAAAATTGTTTTTAGATACAAGTATAACTAATAAAAACAAACACCCTACAATGAATTACTAGCTCAAAAGGTATATATGTATCAATTTAATATGTTTTAATATAAAGTTATTAGCTTTTGCTTTACTAATAGAAACAAGCAAATCGTACTACAACTGCTGTAATTCAAACCGACTCTAACTCTGAAGCTCCAATAGATATTGATAATGAGCCAGAAACTTCGAGACAGCCGAACAGTTCCAACATTTGCGACAATGTAGTGAAAAGAAAGGCGGAAAAATTTGACTCGAGTTACAGGACCCAAAAGAGAATTTGCCTTCAATACCGACAAAAGGTTTCCGTCGGAACGGACCCGGACTTTTATTCTTTCAAACAATGGCAGAAATCGGCAGAATCTACCGCTACCGAATCTACCGCTGCAACAACAACAACAAAAGGTCTCCATTTGAACGTCGTCTTAGTTGCGATAGCAATATAAAATCACAGTGATTTAAAAATAATCACAGATATCGAAAAATCGAACATCAAGTTTCGGAGGAATGTCATCGATTTTTCGCAACTTTTCATGCCCTTCCTTCTGTAACTTGATATTCTCCTCATCTAGCCCATCCTTGCTTTACATGAATATTCTTTATAGTCCGATTTGAACAAATTGTTCAGAGATTGTACGATTGCATTGGATAGTAATAAATGCGAATTTTCTTAGCTATTTTCCAAACAAGGAATGGATTATTATCGCAACTATGTACATATATGTTATAAAAATCTGATCTGAAAACTTTCTGCGGAGATTGTAACTTTGCCTTAGATTCAATTTCGTAAAGACACAGCTAGTATTTCTGAAAAAGAGTAAACAAGTACCAGTTTCTTATATGGGGAAAAAAGGATAAATGTCAACACACTATCATAAAATTATAAAAAAAAATACGAGTATATCTAACAATACATATACACGCGTTTAAGAACAAATAAACAAGACGAAGTGCGACAGTAATGACTCATAATTTCTAGGCATATGAACTGGTTTGTTTTGGCCTTGTTGTTGTTGTTATCCTTGGCCGGATAAAAATCCGGGTCCGTTCCGGTTTTCGTAGACCCGACTGTCGTGGGAACGGTTTGGTCTGGCCTGTTGGGGTTTGGTAAGTAAGGTATTTGGATAACATTGCCGAGGTTTCTTCGTTTCTTCTGTTTCATATTTTATTTTAGTTTTTTACGAAATGTTAAATCTATGCGAGGTGTGTTCAAAAAGTATGGCGAATTTTGAATTTTCACGGGTTACGTATATTCGAATTTCGAATTTTTTTGGCGTTATGTTGTCTCTCACTTATTCCGACAAGCTCAGCCATTTTGAATGTTCATTTAATTGTTGACAGCTGCTTTGCTTGCACGTGTTTTGGATCGTCTTCGACTTTTACCTATTCAAAAAAATGGATCAAAGAACCTGTATCAAATTTTGTGTGAAAAACGAAATTAAGTGCGCGGATGCATTCCGAATGTTGACTGTGGCAWACGRAGAAGCTACCTTGGACCGAAGCAACGGTTATCGGTGGTACAAAATGTTCACAGAAGACCGAGAAGACGTGACAAAAATTGGCTTTTACACCACGATAACGCCCCTGCTCAAACATCGTTGCTTGTGCGCGGCTTTTTTGGCCAAAAACAACACACTAATGAGTTGGAGGATGGGGTCATGTGTAGAAGTTCACGCCAGTGAGGAAAGTCTCTGATCGCCATTCACTTGGGAATGGCCAGAAACGATTCTTTTACATA